AGTAGCGCGCAGGCCTCCCAAACCCCCACCGGCGGCCAAGCGGTGACAGCCCAGCTCATCGTCATGAGCATGTGAGCTGCTGGTAAGGGGAGAAGCAGCGTGCACGGCTGCAGGGAATCTCACTGAAAAAACCGAGCTGGAATGAACACAGAAAATGCTGAGGCAGCCACGCCAGAAGCGTCGTGACCTGTCAGAGGAGATGCGTCCATCGACGTATATCTTCCTGGCGCCGTGCACGCTGCTTCTCCCGTTACCAGCAGCTCAAACGCTCATGACGATGAGCTGGGCTGTCACCGCTTGGCCGCCGGTGGGGGGTTTGGGAGGCCGCATCACACACAGACACCCACGCACTGCCTCAACTTACACGAACACACACACACATACGCAGACTCATATACACACGGACATAGATACACGCACAGAAACCCACACACTACCTCAACTCACTCGACTTAACACTTCACACTGCACACTTAACAGATAACTCGCAGTCTGACTTCCTACGTGATGAAAAATGCTTTCGGGCCACTCGTCGTCTAGTTTGGTTTTGTGTGTTTCTTGTTTTGTTTTAGTTTGTTTGGGGTTGTTTGGGAGTGTTTTTTTGGGTTTGTTTTTGTTTGTTTGTTTGTTGGTTGGTTGGTTGGTTGGTTGGTTGGTTTCTTTGTTCGTGCCTGTTGGTTGTGGTTCATGTCACGTTCAATCCAGTTGCGCGGTTATGTCTAGCAAAAGGCACTTGCCATTTCTGCGCATCTCTATGCGTCCATTCAACGTCCTTTGGGCATTGGCAGGCGACGCAATGACACCGATTTCATGTCATTGCAAAGTGTGCCGCCTGAATGGCAGGTTTCTGCCGGGATACCGTCTTAAAGCAAATTGTATTGGTGCCATTTAGTAAAAACAACAAATGACACCTAATTTTCTGCATATCCGCCGATCCCAAGTGATGGGGGAGCGCGCCAGAGAATCGCCGTGCACGACGTTACCTGGGGCTTGTCCTGGTGATTGCCGGCCATAGGCTGCTTTTGGCAACTACCTGGGGCTTTGGCCTGCTTCGAAGGCGACGTTAGGCACTGCTGCGTTCAACTTCAGGGCCAGTGTATTTCGCTGTGCTCCATGGACAACCGGCCCCTTATACGGTCAAACGCTGGATTGGCTTAAATTCTTGAACTCTCACTTGGTGACCCCTTGGTGACCTAAGGCTGAATGCTTCCTCGAAGTCTCAAACCTGACGGTTCGAAAGAGGTGAACAAGAGGTGAAACTAGACGACGAGTGGCCCGAAAGCATTTTTCATCACGTAGGAAGTCAGACTGCGAGTTATCCAGAAAGTGTGCAGTGAGAAGTGTGAAGTCGAGTGAGTTGAGGTAGTGTGTGGGTTTCTGTGCGTGTGTCTATGTCCGTGTGGAAATGAGTCTGCGTATGTGTGTGTTCGTGTAAGTTGAGGGAGTGTGTGGGTGTCTGTGTGTGATGCGGCCTCCCAAACCCCCCACCGGTGGCCAAGCGGTGACAGCCCAGCTCATCGTCGTGAGCATTTGGGCTGCTGGCAAGGGGACAATGGCAGCCAGCGTGTTGGCTTGCCCACTTCAACTATGATGGCAGTCAGCGTGCTGGCTTACCCACTTCAACTATGCTGGCAGCCAGCGTGCTGGCTTACCCACTTCAACTATGATGGTAGCCAGCGTACCCACTTCAACTATGATGGCAGCCAGCGTGCTGGCTTTGCCATCTGGACAATGGCAGCCAGCGTGCTGGCTTACCCGCTTCAACTATGATGCTAGCCAGCGTGCTGGCTTTGCCATCTCAACAATTGCATCACCACATGCCCGCGCCGGTCGTGTAAGTTGAGGGAGTGTGTGGGTGTCTGTGTGTGATGCGGCCTCCCAAACCCCCCACCAGTGGCCAAGCGGTGACAGCCCAGCTCATCGTCGTGAGCGTTTGGGCTGCTGGTAAGGGGACAATGGCAGCCAGCGTGCTGGCGTGCCCACTTCAACTATGATGGCAGCCAGCGTGTTGGCTTACCCACTTCAACTATGATGGCAGCCAGCGTGCTGGCTTACCCACTTCAACTATGATGGTAGCCAGCGTGCTGGCTCGTACCCACTTCAACTATGATGGCAGCCGGCGCGCTGGCTTTGCCAACTGGACAACGGCAGCCAGCGTGCTGGCTTACCCACTTCAACTATGATGCTAGCCAGCTTTGCCATCTCAACAATTGCATCACCACATGCCCGCGCCGGTCGTGTAAGTTGAGGGAGTGTGTGGGTGTCTGTGTGTGATGCGGCCTCCCAAACCCCCCACCGGCGGCCAAGCGGTGACAGCCCAGCTCATCGTCGTGAGCATTTGGGCTGCTGGTAAGGGGACAATGGCAGCCAGCGCGCTGGCTTACCCACTTCAACTATGATGGCAGCCAGCGTGCTGGCTTACCCACTTCAAGTATGATGGCAGCCAGCGTGCTGGCTTACCCACTTCAACTATGATGGTAGTCAGCGTGCTGGCTCG